AATAAATTTTTCCTGTTAGTATTGTTTGTGATGATTAAAGGAAACAACGTACAGAAAGCACTGGAACATTAAAGACTGAATACTTTCCCCACATACACAGTTTAAGGCTGCCCTCTGGATACTTGCTCCCTTTAGAAGCACTGCTGTCGGTGACAACCTCAAGTCATTCTCGGGCAGGTGACTGCTGGGAAGATGCCAGTCTCTGTCTATCTAATGATGACTCCCGTTAGTTTCAATCTTGGAGGGTAATTTTTCGGCCTGGTCCCCCCATTCTCTCAGGGCACCCTGCTGCTGACTCTGCTGTCCATCCATTGCCTACAGGCTTTTAAGAAATCTCAAGGTCCAAACCTTGGGCTATTGAGGGACACAAGTCTCAAACAGCCCCAGGGCCTGGTGGAAGGTCATGGGAGTGTTAACAGTGGGGCCAGCCCAGGTTCCAGGGCTGTAGACTCCAAACCCAGGACTCCCCAACAAGGCGCCTGCAGACTCTCAGGTCCTGCCTCCACTGTGCCACTGTCAGCAGTGGGTGACCCAGAGGACAAGAAGGCACTGTCTGTGCATCCTGAGCAGAGAGGTGGGATTCAGCCACTTACCCCAGGGACTTTAACAGTGATTCCTTCTTAAGGAGAAAAACTGTTCATTGTTAGTGACCTTAAGGGGTCAACTGATTTTCTTTCCAAGCTGCCCTTGGGAACTGAGCCCAAACAAAGTGAAGAGGTGTCAGTAAAAAAGACCTGTCTTTCTGAGGCTTTGCAGGGGAGGGTGGCAGTTTGGGCGACCCTCAGAGGTACCGGCAGAGTGGCAGCGAGCTCACTGAGCACCCCCACATCTTAGAGGCAGGATGGGCCCCGAGACCAAGCCCTGCCTGGCGCCCCTGGCCGCCCAGCCTGGGCCCATCACCAGGCAGGCGGGTGGGCAGGGCCGGGCCCTTTTGTTCCTAGCACCTGGGCCCCTGCTCCAGACCGCTTTGGCTGGCCTAGTGCGTTTGGTACACGTGTAGCAGAATGGAATGGAAAAACAAGCACCACATGTATTCACCATCAAATTGGTATTAGCTGATCAACATTTAAGTGCACATATAGAATAACACGTATTGGATGTTGGGCAGGGGGAGGGGGAGGGGAGAGGAGGGGGCGGGCATAGGGCATATGCACAAACAATGAGTGAGATGCGCACCTCCGGGAGAATGGACACACTTGAAGCTCGGACTTGGCGGGGAGGGAGGGTAAGGGCATCATACTTAACCTAATCATCTGTACCCCCATAACATGCTGAAATAAAGAAAGAAAGGAGCTCCCCCCTCTGGCACTTTCGGGGAAATAGGGAGGCTGTGCCAGGACGTGCCGCGGAGACTTTGCAAACTCTGCAAAGGTCCCCGCAGATCCCGCGGGCGTTCCCCACCTGCGGAGCATCAGGGCGCCCATCGCTCGCCCGGGAATTGGCGCGGGGCCGCTCCGTGGCAGGGACCCTGTGGACCTCCAGCCGGGGAAACTCGCCAAGCAGCGCATCCTCAGGAACCGGTGAGCCACAGCGCCGGGGGTGGCTCGGGGGCGGCGGGATGAGTCTGAGAGCCGGCTGAGCGCGCCCGCCGGGGGAGCCAGCCGGGCCACCGCGGAGGACATGGTAGGAACGTGGGGGGGGAGGGCGGGGGAGGAGCGAGGACCAAGCGAGCGGCGGTTGGGGTGGCCACCCGACAGGTGGTCGCGAGCAGCGCGCACCAGCTCTGGCCTTCCGGGGCTGGCGTTGTGCCCCGAAAGTTGCATCGGGCGGTGGCGGCTTTCATTTCTGCCACAGAACTGGGGGCGATAGGCTTTACTGCTGCTCTTGGGCGCGGGGGAGGACCCTGATAAGGCGCCTTCCATTCCCCACCCTCACCCCTGGCTGAGCCGGAACCGCGCTGCTCTGCAAATTTCATGCAATGCGAGGTAGGGAGAGGGGAGGATTCCCTGGGGCACCCAAGGCAGCCTCCTATGGCTCATGAAAGGATTTGCACCTCGGAAAAAGGGAGGACTCCCTGATGTAGCATTTGCTGCTGAAAGAAGAAAAATGGAGCCCTGTGCAGGGATCCCTAGGTAGAGGGACAGATGGGCAGCACTCTGTGGCCTGTCAACACCAGGCCAGCGATCAGAAGCAGCAGTGCAGGTTAGGCAGTGGCACCGGGTGGGAATCCACGCTGGCCCGAGGCCTGTGCAGACAGCTCCTGGCGTGCAGAGCTGGCCAGAGGGGCAGAGCAGAGGCCCCATTGCTGGCTGGAGGCCAGCAACAGAGCTGACCAGCACAGAGAGCCTCCTGGGTCACACAGGGAGCAGCAGGTCAGGTGGCCTAATTGTTGGGCGTGGTGGGGGCAGGTGCCAGGCCACACCCCCTCAGAGGCTGGGTGTCTCTGCAGGTCCATGATCGCCTGGATCGCTACTGCTGTGGCTTCGAGCCTGAGCCCTCAGATCTCTGTGTGGAAAAGAGGCTCCAAGAAAAATGCCGGAACCCGCCAAGAAAAAGGATTGGGAGACATTATTAATGATGCAATCTACTAAAGGTTGTTATCTCTAAGGGGTAGCATTATTAATGACTTTTCTTCATTTGGTTGTTTTTTAAAAAGGAAAAAAGTATGCCCCCTCTCACCTCTGTTAATACTCTTTGATGAGTAGTGCGAACTGTCACCTGGTATTTATTTTCAAGAACCCCTAATTGCAGCTAATCAAGCATTTATCTTGCATTTACAAGCTCTAGCTGCAGGTACATTTTTAGCCATGCTCAGTAAAGAAACATAATTGCGGTAGAAACTATAGAAGTGAACATAAGAAACAGTAAGAGATGAGCATCATCACTTATTACTTAAGCATTGCTATCTTTTTTCTGCCCACATATAGATCAGGAAGAGAAAACAACATCCTAAGTAGAATTTATGAAGCAGGGAAGCTGTTGGCAAGGATCTCAAATAAAAACACCATGGTATATGGCACAGTGACAGACGCGACCCTGTCTCTAAAACAAAAAACAAAAAAATGATCCAGTTCACCAATTTTATTCAAGCAACAGAATTCTATATTATTTAATTTGTAAATCTCAAGGCCCAAATCAAATATTATTTTCTTTTCCAAAATGTTTTTATTTCCATTTAAAGGATAAAAGAATTTCCTTATCTAGATCAGTCTCACCTGCCCTTGCTGTTCAGAATATTATTGGTAGAACATACAATAATTTTTAGACTTAATTGTAATCTGAGTGACCATCAAGTGCAGCCCTCTTATTTATTGAGACCAAGTGACTTAGTTAGGGGAGTAAGTGGCAGAGCTGGAACCACAATCCACAATCTCTTGATTATACCATTACTCTTTCTATAAATATTAGTGGTTCTCAAATGAACAGTTGTTTTTCTTCAAACCACACACATTCCTACTTGGCAATCCCACCCTTGTGGCTCTCTTATGTTCCCTCTCCCAGTTGGGAAACATATTATAATCTTCCATTTCTCAAATCAAAATTTAAAATCCCGAATTTACTCTGCTGGTCTCTGAATCAAAAAATTAAGCCACTAGCTATTATGAACTAATCCATTCCATTTTCCAAATTCTATTATTTTTCTGCAAAAAAAATAGGTGTGCAAGAAATAACTTGGCCATCTACCTGTCACTCCTAAACAAATTAGATCATGCCTATATGACAGGGCCTAAAGATAAAAGTTGCAGTCACTTGCCAGTGTCTAGGCAGCTCCTGGAACAGGATGGCAGATTTTGTTCAGACCCTTGCATCTCATGAGACTGACGCAGAAGACATGGAATTGTATCTACCAAGAGTGGAAGAAAAAGAACTGTAACCCTGGAACTCTACATCTAGTTAAAGTGTGAGGTTAAAATGAAAATATTTTCATACAAAGACTGAATAAGTTTATCCCATATTAGTTGGGTAGGCAAAATGTTGTAATAAACGACTCCCAATTTTCAGTGGTTTATCTCAATAAACACAATAGAAATACAATAAAAAACAATAAAAGTTTATCTTTGGCTCATACAAAAGTCCAATTCAGGTGTCCTGGTTGGGGAACTTTCCTAAGTAGCTCTTCTCCACACAGTGACTGCAGGACCCAAGACCCTTTCATCTCGTAGACCTGTTGCTCCCCTAGATCTTCTCCATTGGGTAGGCAGAGGGACAGACTATGGAGGATCACTCATCAGAGGGTTTTAAGGGCCAAGTCTGAAAGTGATACATAATAAAACTTGTGGGGTGCAGCCAAAGTGGCACTTACAGTGAACATGTAGACTTACGTGTATTTACTAGAGAATAAAAAAAAGATGAAAATTAAGTAAGCTAAGCATTCAATTCAAGAAGCTAGAAAAAATAGACAATAAAAAGAATAAAAATGAAAGGAACTAAACACTAAGAGCAGAAAAAATTAAACAGAAACAAATGAATGACATAAAGATCAAAACACTTAAAACTGATTCTTTGAAAATACTAATAAAATACCCAATTTGGAGTGAATATCCCTCCTTATATGTGTCTGGATAAGCTGGCTCTTTCCACAATGTTATTGTAGAACAAATCACTTTAAAATTTGGTTGCTTATTCTCATGGATTTGTAAGTTGGCTGATCTTGGCTGGGCCTTCTTGTGTGTCTGGGGATTGGCTGATCTAGACTGAGCTCATCTGGGATACTTCAGTTTGGCTTCATGGTCTCTTACCCTTCTCCTGACATAGCAGGATAACCCAGGCATGTTTCTCTTTGGCTGTGGTAGTGGTTCAAGAGAGCAAACAAAATTACATAAGAGCACTTAAGACTTGCAACCAGTGTACTGTAACCTCTGCTTTGGTCTATCGGCCAAAGCAAATCATGCAGCGAAATCAAAAATCAAGGAGTGGCAGTGCCTTCGACTTTCTCTCCCACGAGCCCTGCCTCCGAGGCGGAGTTGCTGGACGAGGAGCCGCCCGAGTCGCCGCCGCAGCCGGGAGTCTGGCGGTGCCCAAAACCGTCGGGCACGGGCCTGGGCCGCCGCCGGCAGAGCATGGCGCCCTGGACGCTGTGGCGCTGCTGCCCGCGCATCGGGGCTGGGTGCCGGTGGTCTTCATCACCTTCCTGGCCGTCTGGTCCTACTGCGCGTACGTGGTGGAGCTGTGCGTGTTTACTATTTCTGGAAATGAAGAAAATGGAAAGACCGTTGTTTGCCTTGTGGCTTTCCGTCTGTTGTTATGTTTGTATGGTCCTATTGGATGACAATTTTCACATCTCCCGCTCCCCCCTCCGAAGAGTTCCACTTGTCCAATTCTGAAAAGGAACGTTATGAAAAGGAATTCAGTCAGGAAAGACAACAAGAAATTGTGAGAAGAGCAGCAAGAGCCTTACCTATCTATACCACGTCAGCTTCAAGAACTATCAGATATTGTGAAAAATGCCAGTTGATTAAACCTGATGGGGCGCATCACTGCTCGGCTTGTGACGTGTGTGTTCTTAAGATGGATCATCACTGTCCTTGGGTGAATAACTGTGTGGGATTTTCTAATTACAAATTCTTCCTGCTGTTTTTATCGTATTCCCTATTATATTGCCTTTTCGTGGCAGTAACGGTTTTAGAGTACTTTATAAAATTTTGGACGAATGAATTGGCAGATACACGTGCAAAATTCCATATACTTTTTCTTTTCTTTGTGTCTACAATGTTCTTCATCAGCGTCCTCTCACTTTTCAGCTACCACTGTTGGTTAGTTGGAAAAAATAGAACAACAATAGAATCAATTCGTGCACCCACATTTTCATATGGGCCTGATGGAAATGGTTTCTCTCTTGGATGCAGTAAAAACTGGAGACAAATCTTTGGTGATGAAAAGAAATATTGGCTACTTCCAGTATTTTCAAGCTTGGGTGATGGTTGCAGTTTTCCAACTCGCCTTGTGGGAATGGATCCAGATCAAGCTTCTGTTACAAACCAAAATGAGTATGCCAGAAGTATTGGCTCAAATCAACCTTTTCCTATCAAACCATTTAGTGAATCAAAAAACCGCTTGTTGGACAGTGAATCTCAGTGGCTAGAGAATGGAGCTGAAGAAGGCATCGTCAGATCAGGGACACATAACCATGTTACAGTGGCAATAGAAAATTGAGTACCACTTGTTCATTACTAACCATTTGAATAAGAGCAAGGTGTATAAAAACATATTATGGACTGATATTTTTGATTTCACTTGTAAGAAAATGATCAATGGATTGAAATAATTGAAGTATAACAGAAGA